TTTATGAAAAACTAGGTAATCCGTATGGGTAAAAATAAGGAGGATAAAATCCAAATAAAGCTTAAAATTGTAAATCCAGAGCAAATAATTTAAATAAAAACAGACCACTTTTAAATGGTTCCAGGTAATAAATTATATATATATATATATATATATATATATATATATATATATATATATACTTTAAAAATCAGGAGGACAATTAAAATACGCGACCATTGTTTCTTACTTGATTTCAATTTCGATATACTTTTAAAATGACCATTTTATTACCAAAAACCCACAAAGAACGCTAAATAATTAACTTTTTTAAAAAAAATAACAGGCTTGTGAAGATTGAAAGACATGATATTGAGTTTAATGGAGAGGAAGGGGAAAATAAGGTTGAATAAAAGAAAAGAAGAGAATGGAATGCAAGTGTATTGTAGATGTATAAAGTAAAGGGGGAAAGCAAATACGTAACAATTATTATAGAAGGCGGGGAGGCTAGCGTGTCTGAAGAGTAACAGTGGGGTTTCAAATTCGATATTTTTTAAAGTTGAAAGCTCTACATGTTATTTTCATTTTTTACTTATATTTTTTCTCACGTGTATTGAGCACTTTTTGATACTACTAATCTGATTCAACTCTGACCATTAACCTTTACATATCTATCTATCTATCTATCTATCTATCTATCTATCTATCTATCTATCTATCTATAACTTAATATAGTATTTTTACTAGTGTTGTTATATAATATATATTTATATATATATATATATATATATATATATATATATATATTTATTTATTAAAGACATTTTTATGTTTAACGTTGTTATTTATAGATACAAGTATTTAAGCAAATGCTCTGTTTATGATAAACAGTATTAAATAACATTTACCGGCCTGAATGTCCGAGAAATTTTCATAGAAAATATTCAGTTATGAATGTACGAGATTCATGGAAGATTGGAGTTTATAAGCAGTAAATTCGACTTTGTCTACCGAACGGCCGAGAGGTTAGGCACGTCAGCGTATATGACGGTTCCGTATAGGATGCAGGTTCGAATCCTGTCAAAGAACGAATATTTTCTATGAAAATTTCTCGGACATTCAGGCCGGTAAATGTTATTTAATACTGTTTATCATAAACAGAGCATTTGCTTAAATACTTGTATCTATAAATAACAACGTTAAACATAAAAATGTCTTTAATAAATAAATTGTCGGACCTTGTCCATTTCTTAATATATATATATATTTCTCACCGGTAGTGCGACTCGAGGTTTCATGCTAAACGCAATCTTCAGGTGCTGAGTTAAAATTGAACATTACATAATCTAAATCTTGTTAAATATATCTGCTTGTCGCAATGATGAGGCATTCCATATTTTATACGGGGATTGTTTTTTTTTTTTATTGCATTTTGACAAAAACGTAAAAAATTATGAATTTTATACACAAAGTAAACAGGACAAATAAAACATACACGCAACTACACAAAACATTAACTTCAGGGTAGAATTAAAATACATATTTAATATAAATATTCATATCTAAATACATATAAAAACAAAAAAAAACTGTAATAAGGTTATTCACCAATAACATGGCCCATCAACATATGTAAATTATTAAGGATATAGATGTACATATATAGATATGGATACACAGGAGTAACCACACTAGCAAAAAATACTAGCTCAATTTATGACCAGAATAATATAAAATACTAGAATTTAATATCCATGATATTGATAATTATATCTGTATTCTTTTATTATAATCACCCGTAGATGTCTATTTATATTTTAATTTATAGTTCTACCTTTGTAACTTTAAGTATGTAATTTAAGCCGGTGTGTATGTGTTTTTAATTTTTTTTGTCTAAAAGTGTATTTTAATAAACTTGACTTAATGTACATATATATATATATATATATATATATATATATATAAAAAACTGAAGAGATGAATATACGAAATAAATTATAACCGGAATGTTTTCTTCTCGATTATTAGATTAATATCCTCCTTGGAATTATCCCTATCAGTCACAAATCGGCAATATATATATATATATATTATCTAAGAATATATATTGTACAATATATATATATATATATATATATATATATATATATATATATATATATATATATATATATATTTTATATATTTTATATATATATATATATATATATATATATATATATATATATATAAAAAGAATTGGAAAAAATTTAGTTTTTGCCGACGCGTTTCGTCTTCTGACTTTACCCAGGCAAACAATGAAAGCGAAATGTTTTCGTTGTCATAGTTACATTAAATCCAAAATTTAAAAAAGAGAGACTCTCTTGCGTAAGCCTGTTACTGGTTAATTATTCTGGTAAATTTTATTATATATATATATATATATATATATATATATATATATATATGTTAATCGGAATCACCCCAAGCCAGTAATGTCACTAAAACACAAGGGCTTACAGGGTGTGGAATGAATTAGGAACAGAAATATTAATGATAAGCAGATAGAGAAGACAGCAATCAGGTGCAGAGAGTGACTGATACTGTATATAAATTTTATGCAGATTAAAGTTGGCTGGAAAGTATGGAACCGGAAGTTAGTTCCACAAGCGAGTATGGAGGATAGCATCAGCCATACTGATGGAAGGCAGCAAAGGGGTCTCTCAGATGATTAATGGTCTAGTTTAACAAGTCATCTTTTGTTCGAATTACTTACGGACTGAAGATCGTTTTGGTCATCGGCTGCCATTATGGCCTTGTCAGACTGATAAGACTTACTATCAAGGCAGGTGTAAATTGTTGTTTCGCCAGGTGAAGTCTGATATCACCAGGAAGGTCATTAATGAAAATTGAAGTAGGACCAAGGATTTCGTCAGTACGAAAGGATTTAGGATAACTCTCATTTCATGATTTGGCAGGAAAGACAGGATCAGTTAAAAAAAAAAAAATGTCCGGAGACACCGTAACTTTTCAGCTTATGGAGAAGAACTGAATGCCAGACCGTGTCAAAGGCTTTCAAGATGTCCAATGCAACAGTTCGGGCTTCAGCGCTATTATCTAGAGCATGATAAACTCTTACCGCACATATCATCAGTAAATCAGCAGTTGACCTGGAGAAACGAAAGCCATCTTCCTTGTCTGCAAATTGATTAGGGCCTCTAGGAGTTTACCAAAAAGAGATAGAAGGCTAATAGGCCGATAGTTGGAAGGACTGGACGGCTCACCAGTGTTCTTAAAAACTGGAACAACATAAATGATAACTTCCATCATACAGGAAAGCAAGAGGCATATATATATATATATATATATATATATATATATATATATATATATATATATATATATATATATATATATATAATTATGACATGCCTCATTAAATAATTTAGACAAGTTTTGTCTACTTATTTTTAAGAAGGAAATTACTGGAAAGTAATTGAAACTCACCTGAAGCGAGCTGAATGTTTAATGCTCCTCCTGCCAATGACACTTCCACCAAGCTTCCCTACGGCATATGACTTCACTGAATTTGATGTGTTCCTCTCGAATTTTAAACTGGGGTCATCAGGAGAGAATGTGCACCGTTTCGGGGCCTTCCTCTCTGATGATCCAGAGTCCTTTAAAAGGGCTCTGGTGAAATAAATTATTATAATGGAACCTTAAAGTGATCTGTTTTTCTTTAGAATATTAGCTCTGGATTTACATTGATCTCTCAGGATTTCATCCTCCTTGGTACTACCCATACAGATTACCAAGTTTTTAATATTTTATATATATATATATATATATATATATATATATATATATATATATATATATACATCCACTTTTGTAACTAGAAGTAAAAAATGTGTGGATGTGTGTGTGTGAGTGTTTTCGTATAGATACTGTATCAATGGTAATATAGAACTGGATATTAAATTCTAGTATTTTATGTAATCGTGGTTATAAGTAATGTCAATAAATGTAGCTCTAAAAGCTCAACTCACTGCGAAATCAAAGATACAATCACATCTTTTTGCATCTTTACGGTGGGTTAATATATAGCGGCTCGGATTGAGGAATCGGAGAGTCGAGTTCGAATTCCAGTCGAATCCACTAGATTCACTTACATGCTAATACCCTTGGGAAAGGTATGAATCCTCATCTTCTCCCCACAGCTATGGGTAAATAGCAGGACAGACCGGGTTCTATTGCCTTGGATGACAACTGGTCTACTGCAAAAAGAAATGGCATCCTATCATTTTAATCTGCCTCGTCAGTCATCGTCTAAGCGTGTGTCACTCATAACGCATAACTGACTGATATATATATATATATATATATATATATACATCATCTGCACTATCGCTATTATATATATATATATATATATATATATATATACAATAGCGAATGTGCAGATGGTGTAAAGGAACTAGTCATCAGAGAGTTGAGTTCGGATTTCCAGTTTTCATGCATTTCTCAATGGTCTCACAGATTGGATGTTGAAGAAATACAAATCTTCCCGAGTAGGCGTCTGCAACAGGGATTAGAGTTTAAAATTATATATCTCATTATTTGCCTGCTAGATGCTGTGCTATTAGTTTAAATCAATTAATTGTGATTAATTTGCCAGGTATAAATATATTCTTTGAATCTGTAGATACTTTTAGCAGGTATATTCGAATAGATTCAAATTACACAGTGATATTTAGCTTTGGGGAATAAGACCAGAAGCCTTTTGACCTGGGCGCTGCCAAATAACCTTGCTGTAGGCATTGTAAAGTTTGGCAGAGAAAAAGAGAGTTTGTTCTTTCCTTTTTGACTTAAAAGTTTTTCAAAGAATTCTTTTTCTTAAGCACCTCCATTGATTTTACTGTCAGTTGCATATCGGGAAAAAAACAAAATGGTTGTTTTTCGTCTCCAATTGAATAAATAATTCAATTCTTTTCGCTATCAGTACAAGTTCTGTTGTTACGATGCGATAAAAAAAATACCAGCAAGAAGATTGAATTGCTTTCCTTCTTTCTTCGTTCGTTTTCTTGATATTTTCCTTTTTAAATTCATTAAATTCATTGTTTATTTTTCTCTTTATACGTCTTCTTTCTTTCTTTCTTTCTTTCTTTCTTTCTTTCTTTCTTTCTTTCTTTCTTTCTCCGGAGTTTTACATGAACAAATTCTTTCTTTCTTTCTTTCTTTCTTTCTTTCTTTCTTTCTTTCTTTGAAACACCTTATTCTCTTTAAATTTCGTCTTTACTGTCTTTTTCATTTTTTTTTCTTTAAAACAACTTATCCTCTTTAAATTTTGTCTTTAATTTTCTCTTTCTTTCATTTTTTCTTTCTTTCTTTGAAACAATTTATCCTCTTTAAATTTCGTATTTACTGTCTCTTTCTTTCTTTCTTTCTTTCTTTCTTTGTTTCTTCAGGATTTTACATGGACAAATTCTTTCTTTCTTTCTTTCTTTCTTTTATAAAAAAACAATCTCATTTTATTTTCTATAGGTTCTTTCTTTCTTTTTTCTTTCTTTTTCTCTTTTTTCCTTTATATTCATATCTTTTTTTTCTTCTGTTTGTTGAATTTTTCTCTTCCTCTTTTATTATTAAAATCTTTGTACTTTTCCCGCGTTTTTTCATTCATATTTTTCTTTCTTTTTTTTCATATTATTAATTCTTTTTTGTTTTTTATTTGATACCATCAACTTTTCCTTTAGTTTTGTAAAATTCTACTTAAATGGTTACTACGACTGCCGAAAAAGCAGCGTTATTACCTTCTATATTCCATTATGAAAGAATCCCGGCATGCACCTGGGCCATTTGATATTGTCCAATCAATTTCTTGCATTCAATCTTGCATTGCCTAATCAAACTTACTGAAGACAAATCTTCTTAAATTTCTTTGTGTTTTTGTTTCTGTATATTTGCAAATCTATAAATAGAATTACAATTCTTTTCTTTTTCTTCCTTTTTCCTTTCCTCATATTATTTATATCTCTTTACATTTACTCTCTGCTATGATTTCTTCTTTTTAATTCTTACCACTCAGCTATTTAGAACAGTCAAATAACTTCTCTTTCCTCCATCTTTCTACGAAGTAAAACAATAATTCACTTACTGACGTTTGATCGGTCGAGAAAGAACTTGCTGTTTCTCCAACTTTCTATCCAAGCCTATGTTTTCTCAATTAAACTCTTTGTTTCTCTTGTGGCATTCTGTCACTTTTTCCAATACGTTTCTATCTGTAGATGCTTACCTTTTTTACTGACAGAGTACAACTGTCATTTATTCTTTTACTTGTAGGTTTTCCAAAGAAAAAAAATGGCTGACGATATAACGGTAATGGCGACGGTGAAATTAGCCGCTTCAACAGCAGCAACAACCAAAATTGCTGGCACATGTAACGAGGAAGAGAAAATCATGACATAATCAATGTTAACTTTCCATACTACTATAAACATAAAGTTTGGTAGGCAATCAATACTAGAAAGATATATAAGAATACGTGGACTTGAGAAACTTTTTAAGAGAAAGATTTTATAAATTTCAACAGACAGTAAGGCTAACTTCTCCGTCAAAGAATGACGAATATTTCCTGTATGGAAACGGCTAATCTTAACATTGCGTATGTTTAAATATCTGTATAGGTGGCAGTATTTTCTTTATTGGAAACTTTGGAAACTGACACAAGGGTATAAAATAAATAATATATTTTTGCTTTACAATTAGTCCATTGATATTCAGTATCACAAAAATGTTCGTTCATAAGGCGGATCATGGTAGTAGCTTGGAGAAAGTCCGTTTATAGTAGTCAGACCGTGCACAGAATAATAGCAAAGTTAGAAATAGGTCAGTGTACATCTACTATTTTTCATTAGCAGATGACCGCTTAACTATTTTCTTACGCGTCGAGCATGGCTGGTTTCTCTGATGGGCGCCTCTATCTGTCGTCGAGCTCAGAGGTATGAACTGATATCCTTTTGACGAGGATCCGAGACTCTACAACGAACCTTGGTCTTGGCTAACATCAAAAATTTCTTTGTGCTCATTTTATTGATCGGTCAAAATAAGTTTATTTTCTGGTGTTCCTTTATTTCTCATTTTTTATACCGGAAGTTATGCGCGGAGCCACACTGATATTTTCTAGTTTTCTGTCACAAATTAGTAGGCTCATGTCCAGCAAACTTCCGCAGTCCTTCAATCACGTAGGCGGTAGATTTAGTCAGCGGAGCGTTTATGCATTTAACGGTCGGTAGGAGAAAAAGAACGTCTTCCCACATACTATGGTAATACCATAGATTTTAGTGTCGCGTGGTCAAATTTTAGCCATATAACGATCGAGAGCGCGAAACTCGAGTAGCGACTCGAGCTAACCTTTGTAAAGTGATGACGTTTTGAAACGATTTTTTGCTCTGTCTGTGTAATCTGGGCATTGAGCACTTTATTGCATATGTAGGCGTTTGCGTTTCGCCTTTTATTTTTTTTTTTTAATATATATATATATATATATATATATATATATATATATAAAATACTAATAATACTCGGTTGAAAAAAACCTCGGATAGCACAACTTGTAAGTCTATTAAAACAAATTGGTACCCGAGGGAAAAAAATTGAAAAAATTTAGGATTTATTTTACATATATATATATATATATATATATATATATATATATATATATTACATGAATCATTCGTACAAAAAAACAGATATAGAAGTTAATGATATAAATGGCGAGAATACATCTTCGCAACAAATTTAATAAAGTACATTAACCTCGAACCTCTAGATGAATGTCATGATCCCTGTTTATAAATTCCAGTTGCATAAGGTCTTTTTTATTTTTTACAAGCTTTCATCTGTTCATACTGACATCATCAGGTATGGAAATAGATTTGTTTTTGTTTTTTACTTCTCGGTAATAAGAGGACAACGAAAATATAGATGTAATCCGAAAAATAACTGATCCGACGTGCAACTTTCGGATAATAACTGTGGCATTCCTGTATTTATTGAACAATTTAGTTCATGTCACGTTGACTAAAAAACCTACCAGTACAAAAGAATTCTCCTATTACCATATCAGTGGAAAAACACAAAATTCTTACAATTAACAATAACACATTTATAAAAACATTTTTCTATATCTGTTTTTGTATGAATGATTCATGTAATGTAAATTGAACTGCACCACATACTTGATATATATATATATATATATATATATATATATATATATATATATATATCATCACTTTAAACGTTATTTTTTAGTGGATACTCCTCTTCGAGTAGACGCTTCGTTTATTTATTAAACTGTATATTTATTTATTTTATTTACCGGCCTAAATATTCGTGAAATAATATTTAAAAAATTGCGCGCTCCGGCAGGATTCGAACCTGCGTCCCGCTGAGAAGGGGGATATGAAAATTAAAAAAAATATATACAATATTTGGAGGGTGTGATAATCAGTCAAACATCGATCTTTACCGTATCAATATCTATTTGAACGATTATCACACGTTCCAAATATTGTATTCTTTCCTTTACCTTAATTAATAAAACGTTTGATGATTTATCAATTGTATTAATAAATTTTCTTCTGATTAATTTCCAGATGAAATGTCTTTGAATGTATTTAAGAAATAAATCGCTTTCAAAAGAAAAAAAAATATAATAGTTGACACTTGCAATTCAATTACATCGAAAATCATTCGTTGGACTTGTTCAACAAAATAATTCACTCATTTATTTGCATTTCATTTTCAAGCCAAACGCTAGCAATGGAGTCTTAAAAAGCAATTATCTCCATTACATATCGATTCATGAAGCTTTCTTATGTCGAAACTATAGGCTATATGCAAACGTTTTCTTGGATCATCGACTCAAATGGCTTCAAGCGAATCAATCCTCTTGGCTATAAACTCATATACTCTATCAGATATTATAGAGATACTTCCTCGGGTTTCTGCTTGAGTAGTTTCGCAACACTGTTAAGCTCAAGCACCAGGGGGGTCATCCTCACTAGGCAGTACGTCTTCTTCGAGAGAGGGCTGGGATCATTACTCGGCACCCTAGGCGTCCCCAGAAAAGGAGGTGTTGAGAGGTTTTGAACAATTTTCTCTACGGTATTGCTGTTAAACCCATTTTAAACAACGACATTCTATCAAGATTCGAGGGCGCGCTGAAAAATCAATTATATAGACTGGCGCTACAGAATCACAAAGGACCAAAACCGCATCACTTGAACACGCCCAACAGTTAAAAAAAACAACGAAAAAACAAAAACAATAACCCCCACCCAAAAAACAACAAAATATCAACAAAAAACAAAAAAATAAACCCAAAAATCAAACACCCCCCAAAAAACAGAAAACAACCCCCCCCGCCAAAAAAAAAACAGAAAACAAAACAAAAAACAAACGAAATGAGAGAGCCAGTCTACATATTTAATTACTTCTGAGAAGTCTTGCGTGTGTACAAGTACCGATATGAAGAGATGGGCACTGATTATTTAAACAGTTCTTATCATATCCCAAAGCCATCCACTAATAACAGCATTCCTGTTTTTCTTCCAGAGACCAGTGCATTGATGATGTCAGGTAGGAGTCGGTTATGCTGATGACATAGGCATTCATGACCAGGATAAGAGTAATCTTTTTAAAATATCAACATTATTTTTCAAGTGTTTTGTAAAACTTAAATCTTTCTATAAACAAAAACTATGATCAATAATTTGAATGATTATAGTGCTGGAACTTGTCCTGAATTCATTATAAGAAAGATCACCATGTGGGATTAATAAACACTAAGCATTTCAAATACCTCGGTGTATAAATCAGTTATAACAAATTTACGATTGATTGATTCGTTTTCTACGGTTTATCAACCTATTGCAGGTTATTTAAAGCCAGAAAATATTTTTAGATTGTAAGACTTCAGTTTCTTTTTAGATAACAATGTTTTAATGATACAATTTTTACTAATTACAGTATCTGACGACATATAAGACGCACGGGTGTATAAGACGCGCCCCAATTTCAGTAGGGCAAAAAAATATTAGTAATTAGTAAAATTAGTAAAATTATTAGTAAATGGTACAGCCTAGGCTATATTTATGAGGTATTATTTTGGTAAAACAAGCCATGATTACAATTAAACGAAAAATAATGGGAAAAAAGAACACGAGCCTATAAAAACTTTATTATATCCTTTATATGGTCTGTACAACCTGCGTCTTTCAAACGTCTTATTGGATTAATTAGGATATAAAAATTCTGATTGTGTTTATACCAATGCAACCGGGAATTATCGCAAGAAAATATTAATGAAACAAATATATTTTACAAATATATAATTTGAATTTATTGCATATAATTTTAGTGAAACAAAGTACGAATATTAAACGTGATGAAATTAATATAATGAATTTTATCAATGATAACAATTTCAATTTGCATAATAGCCTTTTAAATAATGATAATATGTATATGAAAGTTCCTCTAAGATCTAAGCTAATAAGAGTTGCCAAGTAGCTAATTGCGAATTTTAAACCTACATATGGCATATAAGACGCAGGGGAATAATTTTAAAAGTTATTTTAGTGAAAAAAAAAAGTGCGCCTTATATACCATCAAATACGGTAACCTATATCTGAAGGAAGAAGAGTGGATTCATATCTTTCCCAAGGGTATTTACGCATAAGTAAATAATAATAATAATAATAATAATAATAATAATAATAATAATAATGATACATCAACACAGTTGAAATGATTGAGTTATTGGTAAATCCATGGTCTTGTCGATAGAGTTGATTGATTCGTTTTTTTTTATGGCTTATGAACACTTTGCAGGTTATTTAAAGCCATAAAATGTTTTTTAGATTGTAAGAATTTTGGAGGGGATATAATAATAATTAAGTGTAAAGGTTTTACTAATTAACCCATAGCTTAGAATCGGTGGATTCATACCTTTCCCAAGGGTATTTGCGCCTAAGAAAATATAACAAACCCAACTGTAATTTGAACTCTGCTCACCGATTAAAAATTATCCATTATACCACCCGCACATACAAGCTTACAGCATCTGGTATTCGCAAAGAGTCACACATCTAGGTAGTGACCAGGCTTAACTTCGCTGATCGTACGGGAACCTGTGTTTCAACATGATGTGGCTGTAAACCTGATATAAGAAATTTAGTATAGGGGATAAGGAGGTTTAATCTAGAATAGGCTGTGTTCGGAGTAGTTTTGCCAAACAACGCTTGATACTGCTGAACCAGAATATTATCCGAAGAACTTGAATCAAGTTCCTAAATAGCCTCGTCAGATCGAGACGTAATTATGGATGCCATGCATAGCGTCTAACTTGGTAAGAAATGCCTAAACTATCAGAAAACACCCCGTCGTCAGGTCCTTAGAATCCCAAACAAAGCACTTTACCCAGTAAGAAAATATACATCACTTGAAGACTTCCAACATCGGCAACAACTAAAAGGGATAACTACATAGTAGCATCCCCCACTCCCTCCGTATTCCATCGGTGAGAAGTAAGTTTCAATCAAACAGCTTCTTCCGACGAAGCATTATCGACTCTCAAGAGGATGTTTCCCGATCACTACAATCATAATCTGTTCAAGTTAACCGTTATCTTCCTCTCCTTTCCATAAAAACTACCCTTTAAAATAACGCTCTACCTTGAGTGGTCCCCAGGCTTTGTATAGAGTGAACCCTACTTATTATGTTAATTATATCATTAAAAATTAAAATTTATTAATAATTATTTTATTTTTAATAATATTAAATTATTAAAAGTGTTTGTTTCTTTTGTCACAAGTCTCCTCTTCATCTGTGAGGAAATTATCCAGCATTCACTGCCATATAGGAGGATTGATATTACATAGCAGCTCAGCGGTCTATTCTTTGTTTCTGTTGCCACAAGTCTCCTCTTCATCTGCGAGGAAATTGTCCAGCATTCACTGCCATATAGGAGGATTGATATTACATAGCAGTTCAGCAGTCTATTCTTTGTTTCTGTTGCCTCAACTCTCCTCTTCATCCGCGAGGAAGTTGTCCGGTATTCACTGTCATATATATCAAAACTGTGTCATCCGCATATCTTATGTTTTTAAAATTGTGGCCACAAATAAGAAACATGGTTGAAATTTCTGTTAATGTCGGCTCAGGGTATACGGTGAGAAGACATATTTTTGAAGAAGAAATAAGCGACTTTTATTATTCACAAATATATTGGGAAATTTGGTAAAAAGGTACAAAACGAAAAGTGTTGAATACATGCCAGTAAACTGAATTCACTATTTAATACTGTACTGGTGAGCTCTATTTTCAGATTTTTTTTACATATATGTGGATTTGGTGTAGGCGTCTGACTTCAGTCAGTTATGTGCCATGCGGGATAGACGCTTAGGCGATCATGTATCTTTCGATCCATGACTGATGAGGCAGATTTTTTTCCCGCAGTAGGTTGCTATTTCTTTCTGCGGTAGACCAGTTGTCATCCAAGGCTATAGAACCCAGTCTGTCCTGATATTTACCCATGACTGTGGGAGTGAGAAGAGGTGTCATACAAGGTGTCATTCCCAAGGGTATTAGCATGTAAGTGAATGTAATTGATTCGACAGGGATTCGAACTCCATTCTCCGATTCCTCATTCCGAGCCGCTATCCGTCTGACTTGTTCGCTCTAAAACCCTCATTTTCTCTGTAGTATGTATCGGAATATTATCATGTTGAAACATCCAACACTTTACAGATTGAATTAAGTTCTGATTTTCTCTTTCTTCTTCTCTGCTTCCTCCTCCTCCTGCTCCCATCCGCATCAACTTTCTTCTTCTTCTGTTGCTGCTGGTGTACCTCCACCATCTCCTACTCCTCCTCCTCCTCCTTCTTCTTCTTTTTCTTCTGCTGTACCTCCTCCTCCTCCTCCTTCTTCTTCTTCTTCTTCTTCTTCTTCTTCTTCTGCTGCTGCTGCTGCTGTTTCCTCCTCCTCTTTCTTCTTCTGCTGCTGGTGGTGTACCTCCACCACCACTCCCTCCTCCTCCTTCGTCTTCTTCTTCTTCTTCTGCTGCTGCTGTACCTCGTCCTCCTCCTTCTTCTTCTTCTGCTGCTGCTGGTGGTGTACCTCCACCACCACTCCCTCCTCCTCCTCCTTCTTCTTCTTCTTTTGCTGCTGCTGCTGGTGTACCTCCACAGACCACCACCTCCTCCTCCTTCTTCTTCTTCTGCTGCTGCTGCTGCTGGTGTACCTCCACAGACCACCACCTCCTCCTCCTCCTTCTTCTGCTGCTGCTGCTGGTGTACCTCCACCACCACCACCTCCTTCTACTCCTCCTCCTCCTCCTCCTTCTTCTTCTTCTGTGCCGCGTTCATTCGGGACATACAACCTGCTATCTAGTTTAGCCCTGTTCCACCATTCATTCACAAAAGCTCATCAGGTATGTGGCTGGCTGTCTTCCCTTGTCTCTTATGCCCTGAATAGACCCCGTGAGGAATAAGTTTTCCAAGCCCTCCTCCCTCATAATGTGTCCAATGAATTTCAGCTTTTTACTTCTGATTTTAAGCATGTGTTCTGTTGCTATTTTTTCCAGACTTCCTTTTTGCTTACTCGTCCATGGAATTCTCGGGATCCTTCTGTAGAACCACATATGAACAAGATTGCTACAGTTTGGGTCATTACTCTGCTGAACTCTAATTTGAAATCAATTCCATAGATTTTCTATGGGGCTTAGGTCTGACGATTGGCATTTTCATTCTAAAACCTTTATCTTCTTTGCTTTTAGCCAATATTTTTTTTCTCTTCACCTTGTTCCAAACCATTACTATGTTATTTAAAAGAAAATGACCGCGTGATTGTATATATAAATATATCCTGAAGATGTCATCAAATTCAGTTCGATAGCACCAATTTTCTATTGTTTCAACATTGATTTTCATGATAAATTCCGACACTGTATAAAATGATTATTTGCTATATGAGATGAGGCAAGAAAAATTTATTCCACTCTTGATAGCCTCAGCCAATCACTTTCAGCTCAGTTCACCGAATTTAACCCTGAACTTTCCCACATGCTTTGCTAGAAGACATATTTAGATTTATTAAATCTTAGATTTAATATTGTGTGGAATAGTAGACAGTTTGTTCCTTATTGAGTCTCTTGTTTTAATGTTCTTAGCACAGTTGCTTTTTGGGAAGAAGCCTTTTCTCCAGACCACTTTCTCCTACGCTACATTTATCAATGTCCAGTGACCAGGTCAATATCTAGAATCAATATACATTTATTCTCGTTCAATTGAATCCCCCACGCTTAGACAGGAAGACTGCTATTTCTCTTGACAGTCAAATGTATTTGTATAAAATTGCCAAAGTAGATTTAAGTCTGGACTCAGTTTACTCATTGTGAAACTTTTGTTAATGCCATACACCCAGTCTCTTTGAGATTACAGATCTCCCAAAAAGATTTTGAAAAACTTCCTAAACAGTTTTTTTTGACTACTAATAATTGCATTACCTGTTTTCAGTTATTGACACCTGGTAATTATGTCACTGGTGAGGAGATGAAGATGTCTTATCTATCTATCTATCTATCTATCTATCTATCTATCTGATAAAATATATTTTTAAGGTATACTATATTTATGGGTTAAAGTGCTCAATATAAGGGATAGAGCGTATGTACATGTAAAACTCGACATTGAAGTCAACACACAGAACTACATTATTCCCCCACTACTCAGCGCGTGCTGAAAGAAACATGTGTCGGTGACTTCATCTCCAACAACAACAGCTCGGAGGGTCAGAGAATGTTCGCTGACGATCAAAGTTTTTTCTAAACAGCAGACTTTTTTCTGTGGACCAACTGCCCAAGACTTAAACTAATAACTATTTTTACTACGTTTTGACATTTTTGAATTCATGTACATATGTTTGTAAATAAAAATGATTTATTTAACACGCATATCTATGTTTTTTTTATTTTTCTTTTATTATTGTTTGGAATTCGGACGTTCTGATGTTTAATATAAAAAGGCGTGAACGACTGAATTTCCTGCATGTTCACTGTAACGAAAGACCAGTTTAATAGATACTTTATGAGTCGATGTAACTGCAGTATAGAGGTTATAAAAATATGGAGAAAAGCTGGAAGTGACACGATTGCTAAATATTTTTTCTCTCTCTCTCTCTAAGGAGAATTTTTGTTTGAGGCTCGAAGTTTTCTTATTGGCTGAAGTATTTTGAATTCACTTTTTTATTTTATTTTTTTTAATCGGAAGTACTGCATGATGCGCTTGCGCAGGTATATATTTTTCTTCACTTGTATTCCAGCCACGGAGGCGATCACTTCTGCTTTCGTATCTTGTTTACAGTATCCGAAGTCGTTGGTTTTGATAATGAATAAAAAAAAAAAAAAAAAAGAAAAAAAGAAAAAAGAGTCCAACTGTTACACCGATAATTCTTCTCCCAAAGAGACGGTGTATTTTTTGCACAAATCTTACGTAAGAATTTCTGCATCGAAATTGCTATCCTTAGGTAGGTGTGAAATAAATATCAAATACTAAAGAAATATCAAATAATAATAAAATATCATGTGTATCAGCATTCAAACAGATTGCAATTTCTTTATCAGAGCAAGGAGCTCCTTCATTTCAAATTCTTTGATATTTGTCAGAACCAAACAGATCTTTGCCACAAACAAAATAAAACGCTTAGCATTTACCCAGTCGCAAATGACGTGGAGTAACAGGGGAACAGTTGATAAGAGAAGTTATGGCCCTTGAACTGGATGGTAAACGGAAGACATGTTTGGTCATAGGTGAAGCAGAAGACATATTGGTTGGTCTGCCCTTAATAGAGAAAGTGAAAATAAATAAAGACAGAAGTTTAGATTCTAGGCACAACAGAACTGGTAAAACGAGTTACAATAATAATAAAATAATAATGATGACGACGACGAAGATGATAACGATTATAATAATAATCATGATGATTACCATAATAATAATATAGCTTAAAGAAAGTTGGCATTTGCAAATAATCTTTTCAGTAGTATAGGTACGCACTCTGACTTTATATATTCATTGCTCCCACAGTCTGGTATTCCTTATTTACTAATAAGATATTCTGTTATATAGGTATCAGGAGACATCACTCAACGTCAATATGTCACCGGCTACTGTAACAACAGAATATCTCATTAGTACGGAGGAAGATCAAGCTACGAATACATTGTTAGATTTCTTTCGATATATTTTTTACTTACAATATTTCTAAAAAGCAGAATTCATTCTTATATGGGAAAATAATTAACTGCATCAATAAAAAATCAATTTCTAACGCAGAAAATATAAATAATGCAATTGCGAAATTACTTAAAAATTGCGCTCGTTTTTGACGTTACTAGTTTGATTAGCTCCCTTTGGGTATATTTTTTATTTTTAATGAATTAATAAGCATCATGTGACAATAGGGATAATTGTTAAGATAAATGAATTAGAACACTAATGCACAAAACATAAGAAATAAAATAGTAAAATGACTTAATTATGTCCGCCATTTTGTATGACAAAGAACGTGTTAACTTTCTTTAGATATGATTCTGGTTTTATGATTATGATTTTAAAAGCAGATTTCTTAGTTAATTTTATAGATAAAACTGTTAGATTACTAATGAAGAAAATATAAGAAATACAATTGCAAAATGAATTAATTATAGCCGCCATTTTTAATAGACAACTGATCTCTTATGTAATAGCGGTTCTCCTATAAAGAAGAGAATGGTTGACAATTTCCTCACAGATGAAGAAGAGACTTGAGGCAACAGAAACAAAGAAAAAGTGTTGAACTGCTATGTCATATCAATCCTCCTATATGGCCGTGAATGCTGGACAATTTCCTCACATTTGAAGAGGAGAGTAGAGGCAACAGAAACAAAGAAAAGAGTGCTGAACTGCTATGTCTTATCAATCCTCCTATATGACAGTGAATGCTGGACAATTTCCTCACAGATGAAAAGACTTGAGGAAGCAGAAATCTGATTCTACGGAAGGATTCTGGAAAAATGGAAACAAAAAGGAAAATTATATTTAGAAGCAGAAAGAGACAGTTGAC